CAACACAAGGACGCACGTCGCACACAGAGAACAGAGGTGTAGCGACAGACTGTTTCGTCCGAATTTCACAGAGTTGTCAGGAGGCTGAACCCTCGACAGCGCCTCCATAATCCCTGCTTGAAACGCAGTTCTCAATGGGATGACACAGCAAACCACAAAGTGCAGCATTGACAAGGCAAGTGACCCGGCAGGTGGGCAGGCGGGCAGGGGGGCCGGCACACAGCAACACGGCAAAGTGCAAAGCACTAGACAGCATATAGCATGGAGCGGGAACACAACAACACAGCCAGGCACACAGCATGGTATACGCTGCGACTGCATACGGCAAGGCAAGTCTGCAGGCAGACAGGTGGAAGGGGTGGGCACACAGCAAGGAATACAGGAAGGCAAGCATGACGACAGCGTCAACACAGAAACCCATCGATACAGCAAGGATCAGCGTGCACTATCACATAGTATTGCAGACTGTAGGTTCAGGCCAGCATCAAGAGCCAGGGAGCGATGAACCTAATGTGTTTGTCACCACCAGGGCAGAGACAGAGACGCTGCATCCCAAACACGGCAGCCCCGCTGATACTGTTGCAGACACTTCCCGGAGACAACACCGACTACTAGGCACATCTTGAAGGTGCTACAGTTGGACACAGAAGAGATCCCAGGGAAAAGAAGTAACAAATGAACAAACGACGCGCGTGTGTGAAAGCGTCTGGGAATGAACAGCGCTTTATGGCACGAGAGCTCATACCAACGGAGCCCTGCACAATTATATCTGCCCAATTGGGGACGGAAACTTGGAGGTGGGGAACAGAGACCATCCCAAAATGGAAGGTAGGAAATGACTATGCCAAATCATCAGAGCAGCATCTATGCTTTAGATGCAGTTTGCGGATGAACCAGATGACACGCGCAATGAAACAGCACAGAACAAACACAGAAGTAGCGACAGACCGGTTCGTCGGACTTGCACCGACTCATCAGGAAGCTGAACCCTTTGACATTCTGCTAGATACCCTCACAATGTTTTCCATTATAACCAACTTGAAACCCAGCTGAAAATGGGCAAACACAGCAAAGCGTGCAGCACGGCATGAGCACAACATAGCAAGCAGGCAGCAAGGCAAGCAGTGGGCCAGTGAGCGGGTGGGTGGCCAGGGGCAGCGAAACACAACAACACAGCAAGGCACACAAACAGAACATGAACCCATGGAAACAGCAAGGAGCAAAGCGGACTACCACCTACTTACATCATGTGGAAGACCCAGCAGAGTGTAGGCTCGCACCACAACAATCAGGAGCGTGGAAGTCACCGGTCCATTGTCTATCACCACCGGACACAGACACACAGGCATCCCAGACACCACAGTAGCCCCTAATAGTCTTGCAGGCACTCCAGAGTCCATACAGACAGGCACTGACTATTTAGCACAACTTGAAGGTACTCGACATCGGCACTACGGGAAACAGCTACACCACGGAGCAAATAGAGAACACCACCAAGAAAATTATAACGAAACTACTTGTATGTGTCTGCGTGCTCATGCATGCACGGGGTCAAGGCACGTGCACACCCGCATGCATAAGGAAGAAGAAGCAAACACTGATTGATTGACTTGAACCACCAGTACCTCCTAAAAGTGCTCCACATTAACGGGCGTGGCTTTTGGGATGAACGGGCCTGGGCCGGTAGCCCCGATTCAGCCAAGTGGAAACGGCATGATTTCCACTTTTGGGCGGCCGTTAACACGGAGCGCTTCTAGGAGGTACTGGTGGTTTAATCATTCATTCAAACTATAAACGCCCAAGGAATGATTAATCGTCCAATCCGTTATTCATTAATTAAATGATTTGTCTTTCAAGTTTCAACCACTTATTGATTGACTGACTGATTGATTGATTGATTGAGCAATCACTCGACAAGGAAATGGAGATTTAATAATTGACTGAGGTTCTGACAGACATCCAAGAGCTAGGTCAAGCTAAAATTCTGACAGCCGACGAGTTAAGAAGACATTCTGAGTTAAGAAGACTGGTTACACTGAGGTTCACGTTACGTTCTGTGAGCCGGTTGACACTGACATTCTGCCATCCAGGGTAAACTGCGATTCTGACAGCCAGTTTAAACTGCGACTCTGACACACAGTTCAGTTTACGCTTAACACTGTTAACATCCACATTAACCGGCCAAGTTAACCTGAGATTCTGACAGCCCGGTTAAACTGAGATTCTGAAAGCCAGCTCAAACTGAGATTCTGACATACAGATTAAACTGTGATTAAACTGAGATTCCAACAGACAGGCTAAACTGTGGTTAACCTGAGATTCTGACAGCCCGGTTAAACTGAGATTCAGAAGGCCAGCTCAAACTGAGATTCTGACGTACAGATTAAACTGTGATTAGACTGAGATTCCGACAGACAGGCTAAACTGTGGTTAACCTGAGATTCTGACAGCCACAGATTAAACTGAGATTCTGACAGTCAGGTCAAACTGAGATTCTGATCGACAGGTTAAGCCGAGAGTCTGACGTTCAGATTAAACTGGGATTAGACTGAGATTCTGACAGACAGGCTAAATTGCAATTCTGACCGATCGGCAAACTGATATCCTGACAGCCAGATAACGCTGAGACTTTGACAGCCAGGCTTAAGCTGAGACTCTGATAGACTCGATTCTAATCTCTGGTAAAGATGAGGACAATGCTTGTCGAGCAAAACTACGCGGCGTAATATGAGGCCTACCCCTCTTAAACCCCAACAGGTTGCAGATTCCATACAAATAGTTGGGGTGAAGTGTCAATGGAGAGAGCAAAAAATAGATTCAATCACGTCGTGAAGTGTCAATGGAGAGAGCAAAAAGAAAAAGGGTGAAGCATCGGCGAAGTGCCTACGGAGTGTTTCTTCGCTAGCAATGGGCCTGTGTGTCAGCAAATGGGCCTCTGTGTCCGCGAGGTCGTCGGACTCCCAATGCAGGGAATGATTTAGGGCCTCGTTCCACCACTCACCATCCACCAAGATTTTGAATGCATCTGGGAAGCCCAGATGTCCAGATGAATAAGAAAAAGGGTGGAGCACCTATGGAGTGGAGAGTTCCTTCCCTTGCAGTGGGACTCCGTGTCAGCGAGGTCATGGTCAGGCTTTACAATACAACCTCCACATAGTATCAGCGCCCCTAGCATTCACCCGGGTTGCATTTTCTTTTAAAAAAAAAAAAAAAAAAAAAAAAAAAAAAAGAGGACAGAGTAGGGTTTCAAATCCTCAGCACATTTGGAGTACATTTTTTTAAGACCCTTTCAGGGTTATTCCGGCCTTTACAGGCCATTGCGAACCGAACCCCCCTTATAGTCCTTGTTATGGTAATTCAAGGGTTTGGATTTTCGGCTTTGGATTTTCTTTCCAGGGCCGTTGAAAAAAGCCACTCTAACGACTCAAGGGGCTCTGGGACAGGGTTTAGTGCTGCTATGTCTAAGTGCTACGGAAGCACGAACGTGGTCGTTTTTGCGACTGGGTTCGTTATTTTAAGCACGCACGTGGCACTAGCTCGATCTGCCCCTCTGTGTCAAGCGACTATGAATTTGGTCAGATTCGTACCTTCAGGGCCATTACGGCCTTTCGCCAAACAAATTTGCATAAGAACACTGCCCCCCCTGCATCTTCCATCTTTTTTTTTTTTTTTTTTTTTTTTTTT